CTCGCGCATTTGTTTACGCGATTCAAGACGCGAAAGGAGGGTGGATAAATAATGAGCACTTTTGCAGAATAAATGTTTCGCGTTGCTACACATCTTGCACTACGTTGATTGATTCAGGGCGATTAGCGTATCAGTTGATCATAAAAATTTTATTTCTATCGCAATCGATCATGGACGGATAAAGAACGCTTAAAATTGATGACAGAGCGAGCTATGATAAATAGACAAACATAAATTCCGTAACTAAACGTTCTAGAAGAATACAACTCACAAATTTAAGAAGGAAAATAATGATTGTTTTGATAACGCGAATCCATTTTAAGCTTTCTGTAATACAGCGTTCAATAAAATCTTAATTTTTATGAGAATTTAAATTTGTCAGAACCAGTCAATTTCAAGATATTTGCAATTTCTCAAATATACAGCTGCGTCTCTAAGAATGCATATTAAAAACATGCGTTGAAGTGAAAAACTATATTTAGCGAACAAAAGAAACGAGCAAAAAAATTACAAGACAGATGCAAATTAATAGAATTAATTCGAAATATCAATCTATTAAAAGCTTTAAAAAAAAGATTCTCTATATGCACAACCGACAACATTTGTATTTTAACCACCCTAATTAGCATCCCTTTAATGTTACGAACGGGGGTCATAATCTCCTTCTGTCGTCTACCCCCCCTCCCTCCCCCCCGTTAGTATATACTGCAGTTTCCCAACGATCTACGGAGGTCAAGTCAATCCGTTGACGCGGTCGAAAATTACCGCGGGCAAATATCCTCGGGCGAATATACACGTATCCCCCACCGGTCCCCCTCGCTCGTTGCTGTTACGAGCAGCGAGGGTGAGATCGCGGGGGTATGTATGTACGTGCGGATGCATGAGGGACTCTCCTTTCGGTAATCGATACTAATTAGAATGAGGCAAAGTTTCGGGGGCACCGCGATGCCGGCGCTCGCTTTAACGGCGGTGCGCGTCTCGTGTTCCGCCCCGATGTATCCCTCACTGCCTCACCCCCGCTGTTCTCCAGGGGCGAGGGGGGAGTTAATACCGACGAGACGGTACCTACGACGTATTGTAGGCTTTCGTAGGATTTATCCGGCCATTATATCGGCGGCTGTGAGTGAGTGTTCTCGACATAAATGGGCCCTATCACTGTCACACGAACAAAGCGCGGCCCCGACGTGGTTATGACGGCAACGCGATACCGCTTTCGAGTAATAATATAATAATCAAAGCAGTTGTTTCGCCGTCTCGTCGTTGAACCACGGGATCGCCTCTCCTCCCGTCTCGCTCTTGTCTCCAAGCTCTCTTTTCGTTCCGGACGTGAATAGGACAGGAGAAAACCATTCGACGGTTTCTCTTCGTCGCGGTTATACCGGATACATCAAGCGAATCTGAATATGGATTTCATTCTTTCGGTGCTTTGTGCAATTATTCTGACCTTATGCCACCCTCATCTTCTTTGTACCCGAGTTTCTCTTCTTCTTCATGTGCATTAACCCTTTCCACTTTATTTTTTTGCGTAATTTTGAAATGGTCTTTAATTAAAAACTTCTTGATAATAAAAATATAATTTAAACGTGGTTTACATTTTTTAGGAGTAACGTATCGTAAAATACATTTTATGATAAATTTTGTTCAACCGCGAAAGAATTTTTAAAAACTTTAAAATATTTTATGAAGATTAAAAAATTAATGCAAGTGAAAAATTAAGCTGAGAGTACAAATGTTGTAAAACTATTACTGGTTATAATAGAAATTTTCTAAAATAATCAGAAAAAATTTTTCAGTCAACGCGAGTGAATTCTTCTGGGGACAAAAGATCGTAAGCAGAAAGCGATGGTTGTCCCATCGCTCGTTCCCCGGCTGTTACGTCCTTGACCGCTTTAACCGATCGGCCAATATCGATTGTGAGTGCTCACCGCAAAACTATAGATACCCAAACAATCAGTCTCTTCCGCTTACGATGTCGTTGATTACTACCGCATGTCTAGATTGTTTCGTAATGGCATTTCTGAGAACTACGGAGAACGGAGCCAATAAAGCGGGAAAGTTTCGAAGCAGTTGAAACAATACCAAAGATGAGTGTCTAAAAGTGAGTCTAAAAGTGTTGGAACTAACAATAAAATTTAATATTATCATTAGTAACGCTCAGTATAAGTTGTTAGACTTAAAATCGCTCAGAAAGACGTGATATGACAATATTTTTATTGCTATCTTTTCTCCCTTCTGCGTTATTTTCTTAATAGTCAGACATATTTAAGACAGTCCGGAGACACTTTTACTCAAATACACGTACGAGTATCGGATACCGATGCCGAATATCTCTTTTCACCAGCGACCTTTGCGAAATAGCGCGCATTTCGCTTTACATTGACGGCAATATCGGCGGACTGTTTTGATCGCTCTCGGGATGAAAATCGACTATTTAATGGCACGACGTTATATTTGATGAGAGGCTCATCCTTATCGTAAACAACCGCTTCTCGCGATGCAACCGCAGAAACGCGCGGGTTTCGGGTCGCTTCCGGCTCGTCGCGGCGAGATCGAACGCGGTCTGTTAGAAATTCCTGCTTCGATCTCGCGGAAGTAATCCCGGTTACGAGGAGCGGCATGACGATTTCCGAGTACACACAAGATAACACCGAAGAGGTGGGGTAGGATCGCGCCGTTGAGTATCCACGTAAAACGCGCTCTCGGAAGGGCCGTAAACCGTATGCAAACAAACCAAAATAGCTAGTCGACTACGACGGAGCCTTGACGAGCCCCGCTGACTGTTGATGCCGGTACCGTCTGTATTCTCGGACGCAAATAAATAATAAACGTTACACGCGCGGTCGCTAGGAGTCCCTACGAAAGCTATACCCTCGACGAACTATCATCGGCTCCTTTACGACTGACGGATGCTTTAGAAAACGGCCGGCGGATGAGAACGAAAGTAACCGGTCGGCGGATAAAGTGGTTACAACGTGTCCCGCGATCTCTCCTAAGCGCTTACACCCCTGTCAAGGCGCTCCTTAATGTTAAACTTTAATGACTGCTAAACGTGATTGCGCGTACAAAGTGTTCTCATTTGAAAAGTTAATATCTAATTATGGTGTCGTCGATTCGAAAGTTGTTTTAATCTAAAGTTGAATGTGTTCTATTTTCATTATTATCACAGTGTGAAGAAATTAAGTGACAAAATCTGACATTGTACAATTAGTTTTCCGGAAAAAATATTCGACAAGAACGCGTTGGCGTGAACGCAATAACATTTTCGGTTATTGCGAGTATCGGTAACATTAATTAGCATACGCAAATGGCGAATACGTTTTAGCCACTTTTCGAGCGACCCTCGCTCTCTCATCGATATACCATAACCACCGTTTCTTTCTCGTTGGTACCCTAAGGGCGGCTGGGAGCGCTTCCGAACCCTAAAGCCACACCCTCGATTCTCATTAAGATTTACCGTGTAAACGAGCGTTGCCCGTGTCCGCACGGTGCTACTAATCGAACCCCTCGAGCCGAAAGAATTGAAAATAGTGCGGAGCCGACGCGTTCGAGGCTTTTAGGAGAACGAGATCGCTCGGCGTTTACGAGGCATCGAAGCAAGGAGTCGAGGCAGTTGTCTGGTCGATTTACATTTAACGAAATTGCTGTTAGACGCCGGCGCAATTATCAGCAAATTAATCCGAGCTTGGATTTAACACGATTACGCATTACAATCACGCGCTGAGAGATAAAAGAATCGAACGATTAAGTATCATAGACGCTCAAACAATTAATTTCATATATTCAGCAGATAGAATATTGCAAATTAAAATTTCATGGAAGCAAAATTAACTTAGCCAACTTTAAAGCTAGCGTACATTGCTGCTAAAATTAACTTAGAATACGGTTTTGTATTACTTGTTCGCCTCGCTGAAATTTAATTCGCAAAATTTGCAACTCTATGTTTTCAATCTTGAATCGATATTTTAAATCTGTTATTAAAATTAAGATAGTATAAAATGCTATAAAATATTAATAGTAAATTATTAATAATATACAATTAAATCGATAATTATTTGGCTATCATTAGTTGACTTGTTCATTTCTAATTAAACATTTAGGAATTAGAAAAAATCTGGCTTTGATAAGTATAATCGTTAATTAATTTCTCGGTTAATTAGTAAAAAATATAAACGACGGTGCTTTGGAGTAAATCAGAGTAAGACCATTAGTGGTTTTAGAGAATTTAGCTAAAGAGCCTAAACTCACTTGCTTGGCTTTCCTGGCTTGCTGACTTTACGACGAGGCTACGGCTTCTCTCGTCCTCCCCGCATCCTGTGTTCCCTCCCAGCCCCCTCCTGCCCGCGCGTTTTACCCTCCGTGTCTCATCCTCTCGGGCCCTTCGTCCTCTCCCCCTCTATAATTTTCACCCGAATACCTGCTCTAATTATAGGTGGTTCGTCACGGCGAGGAGAGTATACTCTCGTGGTGTCGGTAGCTTGCGCTCCAGTCGCCGCGTGTATCGTTGTAAGATATTTTATCGTGCTCCGTAAGATGATCCATAGTACGTCGGCCACCGAGCTCTCCCGATAACGGACAGCACCGGCTCGCCTTGGACCCAACGGTGGGCTTTGCCATCAAAATCCGAGTCGGTAGTTAAGGCGCTCGCGACGTTTGCTCGCGGAAAGATGTACGCGCTCGTTCAAGATCACATTTTAACGGTACGCGTAAATTCTCAGCGAAGACCGTTCATTAAATACGGCTGTTCATTTCTCTCGTCTATCTCTCCGATCGATAATTATGTAATAATTTAAAACCGGTAGTGTCGTGTACTCATTATAGATGAGATATCATTATATCGTTGTAAATCTAGAAAGACAAGCACGCGTAGGTTCAACACCCCGGCGGTGACCCATCATTTAGTGGCGCACCTAGCCCGTGTGCGATCAAGCGAGAATTAATTAGATTAATTACTCAATATAACGGTCATTGTGCTATTACAAAGCGCGTGTTCTGCTTTTTAGGTACTTGGGGCTGGAGCCGAGGCTAGCATCCGGCACGAACCAAGGGAGCGGCGTCGATCCGCAGACGCAGATCGCCGGCGCGGGTGTGATCGGCCCGGCGAGTGCTGAAAGGAACTGCAAGAACGCGCACCTGACCGCCAAGCAACAGACAATATGCTCCCGCTCGCCATCCGTCCTGCAGGTATTTATCTCGTCGCGGACCGGAGGTCCCCGGCCTGTCTCTCTCTCTCTC